AATCTTACTAGTCTTACATGTATTCTGTTTACACCTTTTCCATTCCAACCAGGAAGTTCCCTTCAAAGTGGTTCTCCATGGTATATAAAGCATTTAAATAATGGAGGTCGTAGAGACATGGAAGTGACATCAAGGAGTATATCAACATCAAAACCCCCAACCACCCCCCCCCCCCCCCCCCCCCCTCCCCCAAATGAAGATTCCATACATCCATTGCCTCAACCACCAAAAATGAAATAAAGCAAATTTATTTCACAATACAACAAGCCTAAAATCTCCATTCTTTTGTTGGTAATAGAAAGTGCCGAAGCAATAATAAACTTCCAACTTTTCTTACACTGTAAAATATAGCACTGGCTTACCGACCAAGGGAAATAGATAGGCTTACCGAGATCCCAAACTTGAAATTTGATATTGTTGTACTGAACTGTTTCGACATTAAATCCAATTGCTGTGTTGGGAAAACAAAAAATTCAGTTACTAATTATGAACAGAGTAACAAATTACTCAACCCCATTACAGCAAAAAAGTGACAGCATTTTAAAATAAAAATGCAATTCCAATATCTAAGTTCATCCATTAGCTAAGCCATTGAAGGATAAATCCTCAATGTAACTGAAGCCAATGCAATTGGGTCGTAGACAAACCATAAAACAACACTTCACGTCTCATCTCATAAATTATGTCAATTTAGGATTCATACTCTCACCAACCAAACAAACATCAAATTCTAATGAAAATACACTAACTTGGAATAGTGGATACAACTTCACCCATCTGAAGCCGATCTGCATCAAAAAGCAAAATCAAAACACACGAAAAATTATCAAAATTCAATAACTAGCGGTTACTCAATATCACTAAAAAAACAAAAGGGTGTCACTTAGAATCAACCAAAAAAAGAACAACATACAGAGAATTGTAGTTTTGCCAGCATTGTCAAGACCAAGAACAAGGATCCGAGCCTCTTTGTTGCCAAATACTGAGGAGAACATTTTAGAAAAGAAGATTCCCATCTTATTAAGTCCTAAGTGGGAGACAAGATAATGGAGATTCTTTCAGCGCATCAATGGATGAACAGATGGTAGAATTTGAATTAGATCTATAAAGCAGAGCCCTTTTCCTCTCTGCAATCAACACAATGAAAAAGAAAAAGGGAACGCAGCAGTGTCAAAATGGACTGATTTGTGTACAAGATTTTCAAGTATATGAAAAGAAACGCGCCTGAAGAGAAAAGGAGGGTCTGCTGGCGAAAGATGTTTATGATTATGGGTCAGGAATATAAATTCAAGAAGTCGTCGTCGTCGGGGAGAATAAAGTAGAAAGGGAAAATTGGGACAGCGCAGAAGGGGCATCGTTTTTTAACTCAACTATAGGTTGACCCAATAAGTTAAGGGTCGTAATTCAGTCATAATTACCGGGTTGACTTGGTTAAAGGACTACGTCCGGGTTATATAACTGAACTTAAAAAAATTAAAAAATATATATTTAAAATTTTAATATTTTATATTAAAAAATTAAAAAATAATTTATATAAATACAAGTTATATATATTGTAAATAATAAAGAGGGGTAGTTATGCTTAAAATAGTAACTCTTTATTTTGTGACTTAAGTATTTTTTTGTCTAACAAATAACTTTTTTTAAAAAAAAATTAAAGGCATGGCTTATTATTTATAAAGAAATTAGAAAAACCCTATAAATTAATCAAATATCAATTTGCCTCCTGAATAATATTTATATATTAATTCAAGATAATTTTTCTAAGTCTAGAAATATAATCTCTATATAAAGTATATTTTAGTCCTTAATTTTTAAAATATATTTTAATCAAGTCATACTTGATTAAATCATTCCAGTTTAATTTTTGACTAATGATTCATTAGGTTTTTAATATATTGGCCAAAAAATATAAATTCTAATTCTAATTTAATAGAATTTAATAAATTAAATAATTTAATTTATTATTAGTTCAATAATTAATTAATTTATATTTGAAAATCAGGTATATCATATAACAACATGTCATGATCTTCTAAATATTAAAAAATCATCAGTGGTTTAACTTAAACTTCTAGGTTTCTTAGTGTAATTAATATCCTTTCATCAATAATGTTTTAATTTAATATTAAAACATATAGTATGGATGTCATGCTAAATCATTTTTTGATTCATTAGGTTTTTAATATATTGGCCAAAAAATATAAATTCTAATTCTAATTTAATAGAATTTAATAAATTAAATAATTTAATTTATTATTAGTTCAACAATTAATTAATTTATATTTGAAAATCAGGTATATCATATAACAACATGTCATGATCTTCTAAATATTAAAAAATCATCAGTGGTTTAACTTAAACTTCTAGGTTTCTTAGTGTAATTAATATCCTTTCATCAATAATATTTTAATTTAATATTAAAACATGTAGTATGGATGTCATGCTAAATCATTTTTTGTTTTTTATATAATAGTCATTAGTTATTTGAATAAGATTTGAAATTCTTTTGTTCTTTATATAATAGTCATTAGTTATTTGAATAAGATTTGAAATTCTTTTCCAATCTTATTCCACCATGGCCAAAGATCTTGTAATTAATACTATTTGAGAACAAGTGGAACATTTTTCCTAACTCATCAAAGGTGATTAATCACTTCTTGATTACTCAAGTAGTTTCATATAGTTCTTCATGTTATACCCAATGTTTGCCCCTTCATTACCTCGATTAATATAGCATGTAACGAAATCAAAATATAACATTCTTTATATAAGATAACTTAGTAATCTCAAATCTAAAGATCACTTATACAACCATCATGTAATTTTTTCCATAGACATAAGTGGTTTCTTTATATAAAATTTTTATGCGGATTATATATATATATATATATATATTAGTTTTAGGTGTTCTTTATATCTCAACTTATGAGGATAACTGTTTTTTATAAAAGAAAAACATAATATATATTAGTCTTTATAACTTTAATAAATGTCCAATATTTAAGGAAGTATTGGCCATAAATATTTTTGAAACAATTTTTTAATACAATAGAAATTATATAATTATAACAACTTTATAATTTTCTTTGTAAAACATTTTTATCTCAAAAACTTTATTTTTATTCTAGATTCATAAATTAAATATTAGATTCATTAATATAATATTATGTAAATATTAAAGATAAATTAAATATTTATTAATAATAAATATATATTTACATAAATAAAATAATATGACATATAAACAACTAATTAATTATAGAAGATATTAAACTAACACCATGATGAACTAGCATTCCACTTTCCGTCTTCTATGGTTTCACATATACCCCCTTGTTTTTCTGTTATTATATTTCCATTATCATTTTCAATTTTGTAGAATTTTCTACACCAAAGCTTTGAAAATAAAAATTCATGCACTTTTGACTAAATTTTCCCTTTGCTTTTTGTTGCTGTCCCATTCTCCCACTAAGATGATTTTTTTTTCTTATATGTAAATGAACTGATTAATTTTTAACCAATTTTCAATTAGATGAAGAAGAATGTGTTCTGAAAAAATTGCTGTTTTTGATTTGATTAATTTTTTAAACCCAAAATGACAGCATCGGACGCACCCCTAATACTTGTCTAATTTCCACCATTATTTTCCACTTTCATTTGAGTCCTGGACCCGCAGTAATTCCCTCTGTTTTTCCAATTTCAACTATGTTACAATTTGTAGTTTCCATGCATTTAATTGCTTATATACAAGCTCCGGTCCACTTGGATAGCTGCATAACATTAACATTGTTCGTGGAGATTATTCCACTCTATTATTTTCCACTTTGATCACTAACATATTCATGTCCAACTGCCGACGAAATCAATAGCACTTCACGAATATAAGTTTTTATATTTTGCTTTTCAGTTATTGGCGTGTTGCCGCTACTTTTTATTCCAAAGTTTTAAAAAATAGAGACAGAACAATACATTACAAAATGTAAAATAAGTTTTTCCCTAGCAGTTTTAAATTTTAATAATTCAAATCCATATATTTTTCTATTTCTAGTGGTGAAATGATTGAGCTTAAGTGTCGTGAATACCTGGATGTAATAGCTTTGATTTGATAATAGTATAATAGGATGTTATATATTTTTTAATTAATATGAATATCTAAATTAGTTTGTATGTATCTTGATTAATATATTGTTATTGTTTAATTTTGTCCAAGTAAAATTCTATAAGTTTCTCTCTTTCTTGTCATTAGTTTTTTAACATTTTGCTTTTTCAGTTATTATTTTCTCTCTTTCTTGTCATTAGTTTTTTAATTATTTTTTTCTTTTCAAATATAATGTATATGATTTAAAAGTAGGAAATGGTTTAGGATTATGAAATGTCTAAGAAGACAATCGAGGAAAATAAAGTTAACCTTTGTCCTGGAAGTCTCTCTCCCTCTTGAAATACTTTCTTTATGGATAACAAGTAGACTCAACCCTAATCTAAAGATTGAACCGACCAAAGTCTATCTTCTATCTGTTCTTTTTATCGTAGAAAATGAAGCAAATTTTTGTATCTCGACTCACCCTTTTCTTACATCAATGCAAATGTCGAACGCTTAACTTGGGAGTTCGGTATGTTTTTTGTTTTTTTGTTTTTACAGAATAGTTTGATTTTCTTTTATAGAAGAGTATTAGGAGTGTCATGAAGAGCTTGCTTCTTAATGAAAATATTGATCAGTCCTGGAAACAGTGCATGCGTATTCATTGGCATTTGTTGAACTAGTCAAGTGCATTATCCTTCGAAGAACTTTCTTACATTGCTCTTGATCCAAAGGCACTAACAATTGTGACCTTTGTCCTGTAAAAGCAGACCCAAGCCCTCACAAATGGGCATGAAATCCGAAACCAATGTCCTTACACTGTTTAGTCTGCAGCTGTTCCCGGTGGTGGCCGAGACTCGAGGGAAGCCAATCATGGACCATCAATGCGAATCCCTGAACAACACTGGCTGAAAATGCCATGAACCAATTCAACAACTTGGACTTCTTTGACATTTCTCTTGTAGATGGATTTAATGTCCCCATGGTCGTTAGTCCAGTATCAGGCAACTGCCGTGGAATCAAGTGTGCAGCTGATATCAATGGGCAGTGCCCACTGAGCTCAGGGCCCCAGGAGGTTGCAACAATCAATGGGCAGTGCCCAAATGAGCTCAGGGTCAGGGCCCCAGGAGGTTGCAACAATCCATGCACTGTTCCGGTTGTCAATACTGTTGCAATTCTGGCAATTGTGGTCCAACAAGATTTCTCTAGGTTTCTCAAGCAGAGGTGCCCTGATGCTTGTAGTTAAGATGACCAAACAAGCACCTTTACTTGTCCTGGTGGAACTAATTGTAGGGTGATATTCCGCCCTCGAAGCTGCTTTAAGCCAGTGTAAAATGAGAATAAGGACCATGGTTTGAATTCGCTCCTAATGGGATGAATTGGTTCCAGGGTCATAAGGCTTCATTATCATAAAATCTTTCTAGAATATTAACAGTGGCGAGACCCTTTATTATCCCTGTTAAATCCCCAATACCAACTGTATTTGATCCTCTCATAAGCAGATGAAGCACCTTTTTCATTTTTGGATGGACAAGAGAAAAAAAAATAAATTCATTCCAACCTACAAAATGCAACAATGCTGCAAGCAACCTAAATAAAACGATTCAAGTGCTGATCATCTTCGCTAGCTTATTCCAACTTAGTAATCTTCCTTTTTCGTTTAATCCTTGTTAGAGAGTGTTTGGTTGTATGGTTGTTTATGCATTTGAAACAACTACATCAACTCATTTATTTGGTAATACTTCAATAGTAGATTTCTACTAGTGAAGCCTATTATTGATTGTGGCATGACCACAGGTTTGCAAGAAGTAACAAATTGCTGCTTCTTGAGCTTCACTGTTCAGGTTGGATGGGTCTGGTTCAACGCTAAAAATATATAAAATCGGGTCCGATCTAACAAAATAAAAAATTATTTTTTATTTTTAATTATATTTTATTAAAAAAAATAGTATTAAATATTATTTAATGACACTATATAAATTAGACGGAGATCGCTTAATGATGTAATATTTGCAGAATTTGATCACAATCCCAATTTTATTCCTGATTATATTTTACCTATGTTGTTGCGCTCTTAAAAAATTTAATGAAACAATAAAAAATATTTTATATAAAATATTATTTATTTCATGATATAATAGTAATAGTTAAATATACAATATTTAAATTAAAAACCATCAATATTAATATATATTTTTTAAAATTATTTTATAACCTCAATTTCAAAAGCATTCTTAACTAAATATATTAAACTATTTTTTCTTCAACCTCAATTTCAACCACTGTTTTAACCAAACACCTATTTTTTTAAACCAACCTCAACTAAAAGTACTTTTTATAAAATTATTTTTTTCAAACCACAAAGCTACCGTAATACCAAACACACTTAATCTGTTGTACTTGCTTTTAAGTGCTTCACAAGAGGTACTCCTATATTTTATTGTTTGGTTCAAAGAAGTTTGTCTAGTAGTAGAAGTGTTTTTGTTTGAGAAGAGATAAGAACTGTGCAAAATATGTATATGCTCATAGATTGGAATTTAATCAGGCTAGGATTAAGAGAAGAGAGGTCACAGTGTAATAGACCGAATAAATAGCCAAAACTGAAGTGGTAGCTAGACACTTATAATATTCTTAAGTAAGACTTTATGGATAAAGTTAGAGAATTATTGTTAACCAACAACATAAGCTATTTGGTTAATATAGTTCTTTGATATGCTATCAAAATCGTGATAACCAAGCGGTCAAGAGTTTGAATTTCATTATCCTTATTATTTAATAAAAATTAAGCATAAAATAATACGGATTTGTGCAAATCTGACACAACCAAAAGATTGATATCTTTTTCTAAGTGTAGGAGTGTCGAAGTAATAAATAACCCAGCAAGATCGGGGTCGAACCATAGGAAGGTTAATTGCATAAATTATAGATAATAATAATACAATAACAACAATAACAATAATAATAGTAAAAATAATGATTAGTACTTAAAAGTGCATTTTTATCAAGGTTTTATATCATCATTTTGCACTTGAAGTATCAATAACTCCTTAACTAAAACATGTTTTATAATAATATATCTAATAATATAAGATACCTTTAATTTATGGTAAATGTTCATTTTAAATGCAGGCCTATCACATAAATGAAATGATTGATTGATGAATTTAAGAATTGAAATTGAAAGGATAAAGAGATGGCCAAACTTAGAAAAGAGATGTCGGTGTAATCCAAACCGGAACACTGTTTGGTAATTGGGTCATATCTGGAGCTATAGATCTCAGATTTAGGTCTACTTTATATGGATGGAAAGGTAAGACATAAACCTACAACTTCCATATGGAACCCAAGATCTAAAAAGGCCATTTTCAAGTCCAAATTGTAGCAACAACAAAGAAGTCCGAATCTGTCTTCCAACCTGAGCACTGTTCAGTATTTGGCCCATATCTGGAGTTCTAGAAGTCCAAATGAGCTGACTTTTTTACACAAGAAAGCTGAGACGATTTGCTACAACTTTCATGTTTTAAGTGGCTCCAATTTTAACATTATCAATGACGTTTTGGGTAGACAAGAGAAGATAAGGATTGTCACCGAGTCAAGAGTTGGCCACCCACTCATCAATTAGTCATCAAATCAATAGTTCCCAATTTTGGCCTATAAAAGGAGGCATTTGCCATGCATTTAGGTATCTTGGTTTCCAGATCAAGATCACGCTCTTGCTTTCTCTCTTTGTATTTTTTGTAATGTTTATGCTTTGCTTTCATTAATATCAAGTTTATGCCTTTCATTTCCTTTCCTTTACTTAGTTAACTTTTATCTTATTTATGTTCTTATTTTGTTTATCTATTTTTCTTTCTTTTATTATGTCTAGCTAAGTTTATTATGTCAAGGTGAAAAGGTTACACTGATGGTGTAAGAATAAGTATAGTGTAAACTTAATATGGACTTTAATGTTTGATACTAACATGTTTTGTATTTGTTATCTTGTTCACTCTTTAATACTTTGCTTGTTAAATGACTAATCTTGATTTATGTTGTATAACACTTGGTACAACAAATGCTTGGCACTTTCATAGCCCACATTGTATGGTATAACCGACACCTGAGCTATGAAAGGAACTTGATTTGTTGTTAACATAAGTTATAATCATGAATGCTTGACGAGATTTACAAGTATTAGCATTAATCGAATAAGATGACTAATATAATCATGTTAACAATCTATAATCAAATTGGAACCTCCTTTGTGTGTGGTTTCCAATTGAATAATAAGAGTTTATACTATACTTGTTTGACATACCATTAGTGGAACCTCTAACCTTGATATTTGTTATTATCATTGTTTAATCGTTACGTTAATATTCTATCTTAAAGTTCTCATCTTCTTCTTCTTCTTCTTTTTCTTTATTATTATTATTATTAGTACTACTACTACTACTACTACTACTACTACTACTATTATTATTGTTGTTGTTGTTATTGTTATTGTTGTTGTTATTGTTATTATTGTTGTTATTGCTATTATTGTTGTTTATAATTGTTGTTTATAATTTGTACAATTAACCTCTCTGTGGTTCGACCCTGGTCTTGCCGGGTTATTTATTACTTTGACACTCCTGCACTTGGGAGAAGACAACAATCTTTTGGTCGTGTCAAATAATAACAATAACAATAAAAATAATAGTAGTAGTAGTAGTAGTAATAGTAATAGTAGTAGTAGTAGTAGTAGTAGTAGTAGTAGTAGTAGTAGTAGTAGTAGTAATAATAATAATAATAATAATAAAAGAAGAAGAAAAAGAAAAAGTTGATGAGAACTTTAAGATAGAAGATTAATATAAGGATTAAACAATGATAATAATAAATGTCAAGGTTAGAGGATCCACTAATAGTATGTCAAACAAGTATAGTATAAACTCTTATTACTCAATTGGAAACCACACGCAAAGAAAGTTCCAATCAGATTATAAATTGTTAACATGATTACATTAGTCATCTTATTCAATTAATATTAATACTTGTAAATCTTGTCAGACATTCATGATGATAACTTATATTAACAACAAATCAAGTTCCTTTCACAGCTCAGGTGTCGGTTATACCATACAGTATGAGCTATGCAAGTGCCAAGTATTTGTTGTACCAAATGTTATACAACATAAATCTAGATTAGTCATTTAACAAGCAGAGTATTAACAAGTGAACAAGATAACAAATACAAAACATGTTAGTATCAAACATTAAAGTCAGTTTTCCTTATGCATCTCATTTTAATTTTAAACTAGACATTATTCAACTTTTACCTTCTTTTCATGGCTTAGATTTAGAAAATTCATACTTGCATTTAAGGGAATTTGAGGAGGTCTGCAACGCATTTAATAATTTAAATTGTAGCATGAACACCATTAAATTAAAGCTTTTTCCTTTTTCATTAAAAGATAAAGCTAAAACATGGCTACAAAATTTGAGACTAGGATCCATTCGTGCTTGGGATGGAATGCAACAACAATTTTTAAAGAAGTTTTTTCCATCTCATAAAACAAACTCTTTCAAAAGACAAATCACCACTTTCACACAAAAACCAGGAGAAACATTTTACCAATGTTGGGATAGGTATTGAGACTTGGTTAATACTTGCCCTCATCATGGTTTTGAAACATGGAGATTGGTTTCATATTTTTATGAAGGGTTAACACCTAAAGATAGGCAAATTGTTGAATTGATGTGCAATGGAACTTTTGAAGATAAAGACCTTGATGAAGCAATGGAGTACTTAGACTTGTTAGCTAAAAATGCTCAAAATTGGAACACCGCGGGTACTTATGAGGCACCGAGTAAAACTCAACCTCATACATCTAGTGGAGGTATGGACAACCTTAGGGAAGATCATGACCTTCAAGCCAAGTTTGCATCTTTAGCTAGAAAAGTCGAGGCACTAGAATTAAAAAAAAATGGTCAATTAAAATCTGTTGAAAACATTGTGTGTCAAATCTGTGAAACAAATGAACACTCAACTAATAATTGTCCAACCTTGCCTTCTTTTAAGGAATGTCTCTATGAACAAACCCATGCTTTAAATAGTTTCTAAAGGCCCAATTATAACCCATACTCGCAAACATACAACCCTGGTTGAAGAAATCACCTAAATTTCAGTTAGAAGAGCGATAATGCACAAACTTCACCACCACAGTTTCAAGCACACCATAATTTCCAAAATTCTTATGGATATGCACCTTCTTATGCT